TTCCTACGTTAGCGTTGGGGTCAGTATATCTTGGAAGTGGATCTTGGTCCTTCCATCTGGGAATTTTGTAGCGTGGGTTTAATTTCTTAGCATCTGGGATGGTTACTATTTCAGTTCGGTACTTCCAATTGCACTGGGCACGTGTATATGTTTAAACCCTTCTTGCAATTCCTACTACGTGTAGTCCTCCCAAGCTCTCTAAACAACGACAGTAGAAATGCAAGTGCAGATCTAGAATTTCAGCCCCCCACTCTCTGAGAAAGGCCTCTCAGCAATGAGGTGAAGACGTAACGTGTGCCCGGGATGACTGGACTGTGGGCTCCTCGACTGAAAAACCACAAGGGCCTCAAACACACACACTCAACAGAAAAGGTAAGTCCTGGGGCCACCCTGCGGCTGTGGGTTTAGTGGTTTTGTGAGTACTGGAGAAGAATTTCTTTCTCCCAGTGCCTGAAAAGGGGCAGCATCTTAGGTTTCCAAGAAGCGGTGCTACTTTTCAGTGCGAGCAGGGTCGATGTTCCTTATGCACAGGGAGGTGGGACGCGAGCTGAAACTGAGGATGGGGTCCCAGATCCAGACTCCTTGAATACAGCAATTCTGAACGGAGTCAGCTGGAGTTCAAAGATAGCTAATTGAAAAGGAATGAGCTTAAAGGGTTTTGCGATCCATCTGAGTGATGTGCACAAATGAAGCAAAACTAATGCAAGCTTCATTGAAAAGAGATAAAAATGCCTGGAATTTGACCAGCCCAATCAAAGACTTGCTGAAACGGATCCAACTGCCTGATCCCACCACCTCTAATTCCTGACTCGGGTCCCTTTCACCTCCCCAGACCGCCCTGATACAGTGGGTTTACAATGCTGTGTGTAGAGTTGCATGGAAATCAGTTGACCGCTATCTACTGAAAAAAAATGGAGAATCCTGGACGGCTCCAAGATGAGATGGTAATTGGATTTTTTAGAAGATTAAGAAATGTCCTGGGAAGTAGTTTTAAGAATATTATAATTGAAATAAAATTTTTACGTATAGAGCGACCTTTTGCCCTTATGAAAATGTTTGACTTTGTTGGCATCGATCAAGATTTGGGGATAGAAGAGAGACAGCAGTGAGGAAGTGTACACAACTTATTACTTCAAGTCCCTCCTCTAGAGTTAAACTGGCTGATTCCAAATGCTGGAAATGGCCAGCTGTATAGCCAGTTACATAAACTTTCTTTGCCTCAGTTCCCTTATCTGTAAAATTAGATATTAGTGAGAGTGTCTCATTAGGCTGTTGAGAGAATGAATGAGATTGTGCGTGTAAAGCTCTTTCAGTGCTGGAAGTGTGTTACTTATTATTACTATTATCATTATTATTATTGGCTTCATCATTGGGCAGTGTGACACATTAGTCAGAAATGAATGGATTAGTTTCTTTTAGAGTGAGGACATGAAGATATGAGTTATTTTCATTAGCAATTGGTTTTGCGTGTGTGTGTGTGTGTGTGTGTGTGTGTGTGTGTGTGTATGTGTTGTGTGTGTTATTGAAATAATTGAATTGCTACTGGTTGGAGAACAT